TATAGAAAAATCCTTCCTTTTCTCTTAAAATTTTTTATATTCAAAAAACATTTAGAATATTTTTTTTTTTTTTTTTTAAGTTTTTGTATCAAGTCAGTGCAGCACTTTCAGGAAAGCTAATTGAATCCTTTGAAAGGTCTTGAGTAGTGTTTTTGATAAAAGTGCTAAGTATTTAAGCTTGGAGATTTGATGGCACTTTGAACGGTCATTAGCCTTTAGCTTGAAATTGTATTCAGATAACCAAAACACTACTTACTGATACCTGTGAGTTTTATCTTTGTACAAGTTATGATTCTCAATTAAACAACTTTTGTGTGAGTTTTTTTTATATAAATATTTTTTTTTTTTTTTTTTAATTGTTATTTTTTATGGCATTTCACTTTTCTGAGAAGGAGAGAAAACTTTTTGATGACATCCATTGATGTGTGTTTTTTGATAAATTATTATATTGTTTTGTAAGCCAGAGGTATTGCGAATAAAACAGCATAAATTTTGAATAATTAAGTACAATAATTACCTTGTATAAAAAAAAGTAATTCTAAGTTTCCTTCAAGTATTTTATTATTTACTGTTTCACTTATCAGTCATGTCATTTTCTGTCAAAGTGGATCCAGGCAACAGTAAATAAACGGACTGGTACATCATTTATGTGTTGTTTGTTGAGCCATATTTCTTTCCCTCCACAGTCAGCCATTCTTTTGGGTTTGGTCTGATGGACGCAGCAGCCATGGTGTCCCTTGCACGGAACTGGACCTCCGTCCCAGCCCAGCACATTTGTGAGATACGCTCACCGGATCACAACAGGTAAAGATCTGATCACAACAGGTAAAGATCTGATCACAACAGGTAAAGATCTGATCACAAAGGGTAAAGATCTGATCACAACAGGTAAAGATCTGATCACAACAGGTAAAGATCTGATCACAACAGGTAAAGATCGGCCATGGGGCAGGAGGGCTGCTTGTCTTAATCTTTAACAATTTCATTTTGAATGGTTGTCGGTCAGATAAAAAGAAATTAAGAAGATTGTATTGGGCTATTCTGGGCCTATCAATAACATTTATTTTTATTGTAATGGGCTTTTGTTGGTCCTATCCATAAGATATTTTCTATGCTCAGACCAAAGCAATATCATTATTAGATCAGGCAAATTGTTGGTCTGATCTGTTTGTCTTGGGTTATTGTTCCTGTCATTAACATACTTCCTATGCACTAACCTGTCATGTTTTCTTCTTTCTTAAAAATAAAATACATTGTATGCTTACTGGAACTGAACTAACTGCAATTAAAGAGTTTTTCTCTAATAAGAATGGAGAAATATTTTTACATTTAATTATAGCAATGTCTATTTAACCTTCTACAACTGCTGTGCCCCAATCTGTGAACCCATTCTGAAATATTAGAGAACATTGACTTTTAACATAATCCAAAACAAAATTCATCCTGCATTTGTTTCCTTCCAGTCGCACAATTCCTATGAATGGTCGTGTGTCAGTGTTGCTCAATACTGATGGATGTGATGGCACCGTAAACCATGTTAAATACCTTGAGCATGTGCAGGCTCGGATTACGATGACTTCCTCAAAGCGAGGTGAAATTCGCATCTTCCTGTCCTCCCCTTCGTTGACACGCTCCACCCTGCTGGCCAGACGCGGGAAGGACGTGTCACGGGAGGGCTTCAACAACTGGGCTTTCATGACCACACACAACTGGGGAGAGGGCCCGAAGGGTGATTGGACGCTTGAGATTGAGAATGGTATCAGTTCTTGTGAGTAAAAACTATTATTGGCTCAAGAAAATGTTGTGTGTTTTTATGGTGTATGTTTTGGGTGTGGTGTGTGGGTATCATTTCATTTCAATTTTTGAGCACAAAGATGGCTGGAAGACTTTGTGACGATACTTTCGCAATTAATATTTGATATGTAAATGAGCACACTACGTAACACTGACTTTTTTGTTCAACATTAAATGATAACGAAACTGTTTCAATTGTATTTTTATAATGAGTAAATAACCAAACATTTCTTGAGAAGTTTTTTGTCACAGAGTGAGCCACGTCATACACATTATTTTATTTTCAAAACTTTATCTTTCAATACTTATTGGGTTTTCCTGTAATCACACCAGAGCACATTGTAAAATAAATATCTTGAGTTGATTATTTTTTATTTAATCCTACTTGTCATGTTATCTCCGGCCATATCTTTTGATTACTGTTTCATTCTACCTTGTTGTTTATTGTCTTGTTGATANTTTTTTTTTTTTTTTTTTTTTTTTTTTTTTTTTTTTTTTTTTTTGTTTTTTTTTTTTTTTTTTTTTTTGTGTATTTTTTTTTTTTTTTTTTAATTTTTTTTTTTTTTTTTGTTGAACAGCACCTCCCTTCTCTAAACCTGAATCATGTCAATCACTCGTTCATTGTGTTTCTGACCTGAGGGAATATAATTAAGTTTTTGTTTTAAATATGTGTTAATTCATTTACCCTATTGTTTTTTTTTTAATGAAAAATATGTTTTATGTTTTTAACTCTTCTTTAAGTTTCTTGAACATTTTGTTCTAATAATTTTCTTTTTAAAATGTTTAAAAGTGTTATGTTTTTTTTTTCTAAAATTCCTTTTTATTTCATTTTCATCAACAGTGCACCTTGTATTTTTAAAACATATCACGTCCTTTCATGTATATAATGCATGTGAATTCTTCTAAGCTTTTACTAGTACTAACCTTTGTCAGGGCTCAGGAAAAAGAAATGTGACAAAAGTCGAGAGAGTAAACCTGTGTTTATATTATTTGGTTTATACCTAATAAAATTTATTTTTGTAATGTCTATTTTTCAATTTTTGTACCTAACATCCTGGGCAAATATTTTCATAGCCTGCCTCAGTTTTGGAACTCTGGCTATAGAAAATATAAGTCATGTAGTTAGTTGCATTAATAGTCTTAGTGCTTTTCTTGTTCATTTATGAAGAGTTGCAAATTGATTGCATGGATTAAACTTTGGCAATGATCCCATTTCTGACTAGTGAGACTTGCTGCTTGAGTCAGGTTAAACTCACACCTTGAATGGCAGATAACATTTCAGCAAAACAGTTTTTTTTTTTTTTTTTTTTTTTTTGGCTCTAAAACCCTTTTTTTTAAACAAGTTTTTTTTTTTTTTTTTTTTTTTTTTTTTTTTTTTTAAATTCTTTTTTTTT